CGCCTCGCAGCTTCCTTCATATTCATTACTTTATCCAGCTTGTCAGAGTCTTTCAGTTCTGGCAGAGGAATTCTAGACAAGAAGCACACATTTTTACCAAAAAAGCACTTTCCTTACCATTAATCCAAACAGAGTGAAACCTTCGCATGCAACCTCATACCTCAGTATTCAAACAAGAAACAAGAATTAGAAAATATGAAAGACTCTGTAGAAGACTAACTGATGAGAAAGAGAGCCAGTAGCTTTCAGAATTTCAGACAGGTACTGGAACAAGATAAACAACTGAGCATGACCTGAAATATTAGTGGGTAACCAAGTAAAATTTCATCAAGGAAAATCTAGATTGACTTGATAGACAATGACAGAGGGTTAAGCCAAGGGTTCCATGATGTCCCTTAGAAGTGTTATGGCTAAAGCTGTGTACAGACAAAATAGCCAAAATTATAAAAATGCCATGTGAACAGAGATGCAGATTTGGCTTGACAAGATGGATTTTAAAAACTTCTCTACACATTATTTCCTTGGTACCTGTTTTGGGGAGGAGCATTAGGGTCCTGCTTTTTACTTTTTGACCCTACATTATCTTTTTTAGGTTTTTTCTTCTTTGGCTTTCCTTCCTCATTTTCTCCTTCTTCATCCTCATCATCCAAAGGCACATCAAACTCTGGTTCTTTCAATAAGCCGAAGAAAACCTACCAGCCAATAAAAAAATCACACAAGACAAAAAAGTAATTGCTGTTCTTACTGAAAACCAGATTTTTTAATGGTAACTTTTCAATGTAGTAGTCCAAGCAATAGAGCTGCCCCTTTAAAAATGCTCTGTTTAGTATTACAGCATATATTATTCCTTAGCCCATAAGGAATATAGTAAATTTTCTTCTGGTTTACCCAGCCAACTGATCTGGACAACTGTTAAGTTCTCCCACCATTTCTTAGTCCTTCCTTAAAGTGCAATCCCCACCCTGCCTCATTTATTTGTATAGTACTGTGTGGTACTACCCACCAGCTCTTCCAGTAACAACTGGTAGCAAATCAAAATTACCATCTGTTGTACAAAAGAGGAAGCCAAATAGTCAGGTGTCCATTTTAAAACTCCAAAATAATTAATGAGTTAGCTGAAGTTTAGTTCAGTGGGCTGAACACAAGGTTGTATCTCAAAAGGATTCAGCAGTTTTGTCCACGTGACAGCAATACATCTTGATCTCTCTACTCCTGTCAACACCTGTTTGTACAGTTCTCTTCCTTTGTTCTGTTCATGCTGTCTTTGAAGATCTCAAGTTATGATTGTCAATCTATACTAAGGTATCTCCCTGAAAAAGCAGAGAGATTTGTAAAAAGCACAACAATCTTTGTCTCCTACCTTTGCTTTATTAGCCTCTCGTTTTGCCTCCCCAGCCAAGCTTCCAACCATAGCATCTATCTGTTGTTTACTGCGAGGCATTCCATCAAAGATATCAATGTAAAGATGCTCCTGAACAATGTTCCAGATCTGATTGTTCTGCTTTTCCTGAAGATGCCTCTTCAGGAGCTGGTAAGAGTCACGGGAAATGCGCAGCACAAACTTGCTTGTTCGGAAATCCAGCATGGTCTCGTTGCCTTTCATGTGTTCTTTTTTGGTTAAGCTCGACAGTACACGCAGGTCATCCTGGTAATAGCACTCCTGATCCCCATGAAATCTATTGAAACAATTTAAGATATGGTAAAAGGTTTAGTCACCCAACTTGCTATAAAACAGTTGTGGCAAGGGATACAGAACCATTTGAAGGGAAACAAAGTTATACTTTTGGATTGAATTATTTCACAATGGTTGAATCCACAAAACAAATTAAATTCTTTTTTCTTCTCAAGTGATAAACAAGTGAAACATAGTAAAGTACAGAAAGTTACAGATTAGCCAGAAATTAATGTCTTTAAACTCATTTCAAAGTGATATCACCAAATACTTATTCATTATTTTGGCATCTCAGTGCAATCTTCCAGTGATAAAAACTAACCCCACAATCTTTCCCTAAAGATGCAGAATCTCTTCATTGATACTTTTGCAGCATGGAGCCCATCAGCACACCATTAACACAGTTCAAACTCTGTCAATGTACAGTTCACTAGTTTGCACATCTTTCTAACAGGAGATTGGAAAAGAATTTAACAACAGTTACTACAACCCATGGCACTGTTACTTGAGATTTCAAATCTCTCCAGTCTCTTTAGAGAAGAATAATACATACGCATGTATATGTATACAAATAGCTCACAGATTTAGCTGAAGTTGCAAACACAAAATAACACAAATGCACAAATGAAAATCAATCACCTTTCAAAAAAAGACTTTGCCTCACTCTCATGTTGATTGTAGACCAATTCCAGGTACATGTGCACAAAGAGAGGATAAAAGAGCTGAGACAGCTCTGCCCGGTGACAGTCCAGGGAGCACTCGATGAAGTGTTTGAGCCCGCTGTAGTACTCCTCGTACAGCGTGGGGTCCCCTTGCTGGTTGTAGGCCGACAGCACCGCGCTCACGTCCGGCTGGTCCTCCACAACCACCGCGCCCCCGACTGCAAAAGCACCAGCCAACAACAACAGCTGCTCACACAGTCTGGAAGAGCCAGCAAACAAACAGCGGCCACAACCCCCGTCAGGTGAGCAAAACACGTCCTGTGCCCATTCAAGTCTAAGCAATACGGGTGAGAGCACATCGGTCCAGCAGCCAATTCTCTCCAGCAGCTTTTTGGACTGTCCCTGCCAACAGCTGCCCACTTAGCGCCTAATTCAGCCAGGAGTTTAAGTGTAAGGGAAGAAGCCACTAACATCACCAGAATGAGTTATTTCATTGCTAGGGCTAGAAACTCTTAAACAAGGAGCAGAATGCAAAACATTCCCACTATAATTATTTTGCTTCCAGTAAACAAGCAAGTTAAGTAGACTGAGTGAACAATTCACCAAGACCACCACACAACCATCACGGAGCAGGGACACTTAACACTGACAGTTCTGTTTTTACACACTTCCATTGTTTTGTCTTTTATATAAAAACGGTAATATCTGGTGATGTCAGGAACAAGCTGACTTTATGCTGTACACTCACTGGAACTCAGACTAGTCGTTCCTGAAATTCCATTATTCAGTAAAGCTGCCTCACAGAACACCTTCATTAACAACACTTAGAATTTATTTATCCAAAGGACATCTCAAGCACTCAGAAACTCGATAAAGAAATGCAGAAAGCCTCATCTACAAATATCCCACGGCTCCTTCACCCAAACATCAGCAGCCTGTACATCAGACCTCTGTTCTCATCCCTGCGGCCAGATCCGGGACAATCCCCACTAACTACAGTGGAAACCTCCTGTTCCCGCTACTCGATCAGTTGTGATGGGACACAAATACAAGCGGGAGCACTTCTCGCTGCACAGCGCTCCCTGCAAATGCCAGAGACACCCTGTCCGTGGTCCCTTGCTCCAGGAGACACGGATTTCTCCGCGGATTGTACGGAGAAATGAGACATCCAGTCACCTCCCGGAACGCCGGGGTACACTCTCGGTGGCACCGAGAACCTGACACCGACCCGTATGTCCAGCATAACAGAGCAGCACACGGGCTCCCCACTTCCCGGGGACCGACCCCGCAGTCCCCGCGGGCCTCACCTTTCCCCGGCGGCACGGCGGCAACCGCAGCCACCCCGGGGCTGGAAGTCGCGACAGTGGCGACGCTGCCTCCTATGGCGACGGCGGCAGCGCCGGTGCCCCGGCCGAGCAGCGCCTCGCCGGAGTCCCCATCGCTGCCGGAGCCCGCCAGGAGCCCGGCGCTGCCGGGGCTCAGCGCGGCGCCACCCAGGTCGTCGCCGAGCAGGCGGGCTTCGCGCCGCAGGATCTCCTCGGACTCGCGGAGGTTGCTGCGCCGCAGGAACTGCAGCACGGCCACAAGCGTCTGCCGGTCCAACGCCGCCGGCGAGGCGGCCGGGCCCGGCGCCGCGGGCTTCGGGGGTGCCGCATCCCCACCGGCTC